GCCCATGGGAAGGCTTGAACTTACATTTTAAACAGCACGTTCTCAGGTCCATTAAGCACATAAAAAACGAAAGTAAACCAAGCTCCAAGAGGACCCAACCAAATCACACAGAAATTAAGGGAAGAGCAGACTGTTCCATTGGGAGGGGGGGAAGAAGGCTGAACAGCCCCGTGTGCAAATATATAGCTGCTGCAATCAGTTCCCAAGCCCCAGTACCCAAGCCCCAGTTCCCAAGCCCCTAAAAGCAAACTTCTCTATCTTTTGAGTGCATTGAATGACTTGTGCCTTCTTCCTGGAAAGCTTCAAATTTCTCTCCTTTGGAACTAGGGGCAGGAAATCACTGTTTGCTTGTGGGTCTAGATGTTGGGATTCATGCTACCTCTTTTGCCCCAGGGGTTCATAGGAAGCAGCTGGTCTGTTCTGAAGCACAGTGCTGGGGGGGTCTGGGCTTCTCTCTAACACAGCCCTTGAAACATTTGGAAGCTTTGATGGGAGACTCTGTTTTTTTTCCTTGTAGGCTGCCTGGGACATCTTGTTTGGCCTTGAGCCCTTTAACCCTTTCAGGAACTGGAATGACAGCCCCAGGGTTCAGAATATTTTTTCCCCTGTTTTCCTCCTCTAAAAACTAGGTGCGTCTTATGGTCCGAAAAATACGGTAAACCCCATTGATTGTCTCTCTTTTTCTACCAGGCTTCACATTCATCAACCAACCTTTAATTATCACTTTTTGGACACAACCACTCACAAAATTGCAATCATTAAGAAAAGAACAATGGGTTTGGCTCCCAAGAGAAGAAAGCAACAATTCCCTCCCTCGACATAAAGGCTGAGGGACCTGGGAATGTTCAGTCTGGGGAAGAGGAGGTTGAGGGGGGACATGATGGCTCTCTTGAAGTATCTGAAGGGCTGTCACTTAGAGGAGGGCAGGGGGCTGTTCCAGTTGGCAGCAGAGGAGAGGACTCAAAATTAAGGTCAGGAAGGAAAAACTTGTTGTGCAACAGCGGAATGGGCTGCCTCGGGAGGTGGTGAGCTCCCCCTCCGTGGCAGTCTTGAAGCAGCAGCTGGACAAACCCTTGTCAGGGATGCTCTAGGCCAGTGGTGGCGAACCTATGGCACGGGTGCCAGAGGCGGCACTCATCGCCCTCTCAGTGGGCACGCATGCCATCGCCCCAGCCAGGTCCAGACCGTCATTAAAGTGTGGAATTCTCTGCCAAATAATTTTAAGTAAATGAAAGCATTTGGGATTGCTTTTCGTTCTTTGTTTGGAACATCTTAAGTTAATGTATGAGTTGTTTTTTCTAAAGTAAAACCTCAGTATTCAGGTTAAATTGCCGTGTTGGCACTTTGCGATAAATAAGTGGGTTTTGGGTCGCAGCGAACTGCTAGGTTGGCAGGAGCTGGAACTAGAGACAGGAGCTCACCCTGTCTTGCGGCACCCGGGTCTTGAACTGCTGAACTACTGACCTTCCACAGCCTGCAGTTCAGCGTCTTAAACACTTGAGCCACCGCAGCTCCATGTTATCATAGTAGTAGAACATAAAGATTGCTAATGCAAAGATGTCAAGCAAGCAATCACAATCTCGTTAACTAAGGCATGAGTATCATAAAATTGAAGTTGTGCATTAAAATAAGCAACAGGCTATCAGAGTTAAATTATTTTGCAATTTCCTTTCCTCTTATCAAAGTCCAAATTAATTTTTAGTTCTCCTTGAGGATTAAAGAGTTTTGCCAGACTCTTCGTGATGGTATAGCAGCCTCCCCTATATTTCTCTTCTTCTTCTTCTGTGTCTTTGTTCTCCTCCACTTTCTCATGTCCATTTTCCGCTTTCTGTTGTTGCTTCAGGAACATCCGCTTTATTTCTTTCTTGCTGAAATTTCTTTGAGTTCCTTTTGCAACATATCCAGCTTAATGTTAAGGTTGGTCATCTGGTCCAGTAGAGGGCGCAAAGCTACAGCAGTCAGTTTAGGAAAGTCTGTGGTTACTTCCGGTCTGGTAGCCGGCGATGCTGTGCTGGCAGTTCATATTTTAAGTTTCGCTTTTGACGCCATTTTTTTCTGCTCGCTGTGTCATTGTTTATACAAGAGGAAAGTTGTAAGTCTGGAATTTATTGCTTTCTTGCTGGTCTGCCGCACACTTCATTGTAATCTGCTTCCTTCAAGCTGCCCTTTCAGCCTCCCGCTTTAAACTCAGTCATTTTGGGATCGGGCATTCCCCTCCCCCTTCCACTTGTTTGGGGCTTTGGGGCGGCTTTACTAGTAACAATTGATAAATTGTTTGCTGGATCATGGCTTCACTCACGTTTGTACTTGTGTTCGCTTGGCATGTAGAGAGGATCGTTTCTCGGGATCCTTATATGCTCAGTCTGGTGTACGCCTCTTGGTGCCATGCTGGCTCTGTGCCGCGGGGGCCTATCGGGGCAAAAAGGTGCCTCAATCCTTTGGCTTCCGCCTTGGGAGAAGCACCTCTCGCACCCCAGGCTGAGACCCCCCTACAAGGGGTCTGGGGGGGTCCAAGATCAACTCGGAGCCCCATCAGCACGTTTGCAGGGTGCTCACATCAGAGCTGTGATGGAGCACATCCGCCTGCGAGTTGCCGAAACCGGAAGTCCGCTTCCCCCGCTTCTAAATGGGGGGAAGCAAGGAGAGTCCTGCAAGGGTTTCCCGCCTTTAAAGCCAGCAGGTCCACTCGCCGGTTACTGGCTTTAAAGGGCAAGCTGCCTTTTCAGGGCTCTCTTCTGCTTCCATCCACTTCTAACTGGTAAAGTGAAAGAGAGCCCTAAAAGGGTTTCCCACCCTTTAAAGCGAACAGCTGACTGGCGGTCCCCGCCTGTCAGCTGTTTGCTTTAAAGAGCTGGCAGCTCTCCCTCCCTTCCTCCCCAGGGGAGGAGACCTTGGTTGTTGCGGGGAGGGGAGGCTTGGCTTTTGTGCCTCTCCTCCATGCTTGAGGGTGCTGGGTAGGGGCGGGGCGGGATGAGTTTCCTGGTCCTGCGCTCAGCTGCAGATCTGTGTACTGGGGCTTGGGAACTGATTGCAGCAGCTATCTATTTGCACACATCTAATGTTATATTAAAATCCAGGTCCACTAACAGAGTCATTAAATGATTGTTAGAAGACTGGACAGGTTTTTATTCAGATGAGAATCCAGAATTTTTTTCTCAGATCCAAATAAATTACACAGAAAAAGAAGAAATGCTCAGTAGTTTCTACCAAAGACTATCACAGATACAAACTTTAGGTCCTCTTTCTTGGCCTCTAAATTGTCTATGTAAGACACCTAGTGGAAGTGAATTCATTCTTGCAAGAGAAAAAAATCTCTGATCACATGGTGCTGTAATACTATAGAAATAATATGGTAACTGGTACTGATTAAAGGATGAATGTCCAGAGTACATGGGGATATAATACACTGTTCTTCAGTCCTGTTCAAAGGATGCTGGATGATCAAGTTGGATGCTTGGAGACTTCAAAGACTGATTTTCTTTATTTGAACCAGGCATCTGATAGGGGAGTAGGTGGGCTGGATGTTAAATCCACACTATACTTGTCATTGTCTCTACAAAGACTCTAGATGCTTCTGCCCATGGGTGGTGCAGTCATGCTCTGTGTGGGAAGCAAAGCAGGCTCATACAATGCACTGTGTATGCATAGGAGCTATATAGGCAGGAATCTGGTAGCTGTCACTCTGGCTGCAGTTGCTGACAGAATTGTAGCCCAGAAAGCTGCCTGTACACTAGCTATACAGCCCAGCCCACACTAGCCTTTTCCCACTTGATTCTGTACCAACTCACAAGGTCTGCTGGAGGAATTTGGTAGTGTGAACCAGAGACTTGTTATTATGGTATCTAGGATTAGTTATGCCCAGAGCCAAAGCATGAGCAGATGGGGAAATACATACATTATGCCAGAGCTCAGGGTTGCTGGCCTGGGCTGAAAGCCCATTATCATGATATATGCTATTTATATTATTTTATAAGAAATGTAGAAATGTTATTTTCTTGAATTGTATGTGTAGAGTAAGCCAACAGTAGAAAAATGACCAGAGCAGGAAATTCCTATAATCTGAAATAGATTAAAGGGAGACCTAATACTACAGGATGTAGAAATACTTTAGAACATAAGAGCATAAAAAGAGCCCTGCTGGGTCACACTAGTGCTCCATCTCACCCAGCATCCTGTTTCACGTGGTGGCCAACCAGTTACCCAGGAGCGCCTACAAACCGGGCATAGAGGCCAGGACATTCCTCTAATGTTGCTTCATAGCTTCTGATATTCAGAGGTTTACTGTCTCTGTCTATGGAGGTTCCCTTTACTCATTATGGCCAGCAGCCACTGATGGAGCCATCTTCCATGAATCTGTCTAACCCTATTTTAAACCAGTTTATGCTCATGTCCATTACTACATCTACTGGCAGTGAATTCCACAATTTAATTCCTCATTGAGTAAAGAAATATTTCCTTTTGTCTGTCCTGAACCTATTACCCATCAATTTCATTGGATGTCCCTGAATTTTAGTATTATGGGAGAGGGAGGGGAAAGGTCTGTTTATCCACATAAGCATAATTTTATAAACCTCTATCATGTCCCCCTTTAATTGTCATTAAACTGTAAAGTCCCAGGGTCTTCAGCCTTTCCTCGTGGGAAGGGTGCTCCAACCTCATTATCATCTTGGTTGCCCCTCCTCTGTACCTTTACACCTTTTCCATCCGTAGTTTATTCTTTGTGCTTAATGTTTCAGCAAGCAAAGGACTGGCATAGGCTGTATCAGAAGTGTACTTTGGTTGTGTCAGAAAGGAGGCTATCTCTTAAAAGAATCTGCTTTAGTGACCTCCTATATTTCATACTGAAAATGCAGTTGCCAATTTGAAAATTCAAGAAGCTGCTGATTATACACTTAATTACTTGATGCCGGTGAGCTTCCAGTTTCAGTCTATAGAGGACATAGCATTAATACTAGGAATTGTGTTAACAACCAGTATATTTCCTTTTTGTATACTTCAGGATTTTAGATAATGGGCTGTGTGCAATGTAAGGATAAAGAAGCAACAAAACTGACAGATGAGAGAGATGGCAGCTTAAACCAGAGTTCAGGTTATCGTTATGGGACAGATCCAACCCCGCAGCATTATCCAAGCTTTGGCGTGACTTCAATTCCAAACTACAACAACTTCCCCACAGCTGGAGGACAAGGATTGACAGTCTTTGGTGGAGTCAACTCCTCATCACATACTGGCACCCTGCGTACAAGAGGGGGAACAGGTAAATCATTATAACAGGTACATCTGTTATCCTTAAGTTAAGCATGCTGGATATTTCTTCGGCATTAGTAAAAAGGATGTTAGCCTTTTATTACTGGGTAACTTGTGGGCAATAAAATGGTCTCTTTTATGTACACAATACAGCAGAGCATAGTGGATCACAGATGTGCTTTTGTGGTCTTCATCTTCACCCTCTTACACAACTATCCATTTGCTGGTACAATCATACTTTTTTTTTGCCAACCCTGCTGAGCTTCCAAGATCCAATGAGATCGGGCTAGCCTGAGCTGTCCAGGTCAGGAGACAAGCATGCATATCCATTCATATTACTCATACACAGTCATCATGTACATACACACTGCTCACATTTTCATATGCACAAAATACTTACACTTGCAGTCTAAGCAGTTGACTGAAAATGTCATCTATTCCCTTTTCTATAACAGCTATCGTAGCACAGTGGCTAAGAGTCTTAACTGTGATTCAAGTCTTTGGCTCAAATCCCACATGTGCCATGAATTCACTGTTTTCTGAGGCCCAGATGGCCACCACCCTATAATATGGGAATAATAATACTCATCAACTCTGTAAAACTTTTGTACAGATTACTACACAGTAATGTATGTGAAACACTTTGGATGTGGAAAAATCCTATACCAGTGCTAGGGATTATTTATCTGATCTTGGAGGCAAATTGTGACAAAACACTGTTTTGTGATATATGTAAAATTGGTGAATTCTGAATGACAAAAAAGAATCTTGTTGCATAAGCTACAAGCCATCTCTTTCCTATTATGTCGTACTAAGTCTCCAAAGGTGTATTCACATTTACATGTTTTCCATAGGTGTAACTCTTTTTGTGGCTCTATATGATTATGAAGCAAGAACAGAAGATGACTTAAGTTTTCATAAAGGAGAAAAATTTCAGATACTTAACAGCTCGTAAGTATACATTCTTGCATCTCATTTTTCATAATGCTGATAAAGTGATTTGTAATGTAAACGACATCAATTCACTTAAATCTTCTGGTTGTATTCTTGAAGTTGGGGGTGTGCATTCAGTAAAAACCGAACCAAGCCAAATCAGATTATCTAATCTGTATTTGGCTACCGATATAGCTGAGCCCCCCAAAAAGCTGGGGTTTTGGAGGGGGGGTTGCTTCTATTCAGGTGCATTCAGCTATACTGAGAGCCAGCCCCAGCCGAGGTGGTACAGAGCTGTGAATTCCATATTGCCCCTGCTGATCCTCCCTGGGAGCTGCAAGAGAGGATCAGCTGGGGCAACGCGGAGCTGACAGCTCTGGCCACTTCGGCTGGTGCTGGCTGGCTCACAAAGGAGCTGATCCTGCAGGGAGAACTCTCCCCACAGGCTCTGCTGGGCTGCCCAGTTGAGCTCCCCTCAGGCTCTGCTGGGTCTCTGCTGGGCTGCCCAGTTGAAAACAGACTGCCCGACAGAGCCTGCAAAGGAGCCGAGCCTGTGGGGAGAACTCTCCCCAAGGCCAGCAGAATGGAAGGGGGGGGAGTTCTGAGACCTTCCCTCCCTCCTGCTGGCAATGGTTCCACAAGGCCAGCAGAATGAAAGGGGAAGAGATCTGAGCCCCAGATGAGCCTGTAGTAACAGGGAGGAGGGCTATCCTCCTGCTGAAGGGATTTCCCGTATCAGAAGCAACCCCATCCAGCTTTCTTTTTTAGGTATAGAAGTAGATAGAATAACAATAACAATAAAGACTGAATGAACAGAAAAGAAGTTAGAAGAATGAGCAATAATCTATTGGAAGATTCAAAAGATGTATTAAGAGATAAATCGTGATTTAGAGGGAGTTGTATGGTGGTTTTATATGTGGGTAGGATAAGGGAATAGGAAAAGAAGAGGTTACAAACTGGTTTAATTTGTTATATAGTTTGGAATGTAACCTCATTTCTGCCTTTTTCTTGTGTAATACATGAAAAGGAGTATAATATATAAGGATATGAATCATTTTTATGAAATATGAATCATATACTCAATAAAAATATATTTTTAAAAAAGAATAGCCTTAATTTGGAATGACCAGCACCAAAAGATTTAAATTGAATATATCTTCCTGTAAAAGTAAAAATGAAATTTCAGCCATAATTCCATTGCTGCATTTTTGCGACCTTGAGATGCCTTCCACATCAGTTCAGTTATAAACAGTTGTTGAATTTCATGAATGGAAACCAGCTGTGCATGCTAACAGACATAAATGCAAGGACATCTCATCTTTTGTCATTATTTTTGTTCGTACATTGAAGAAATCCATTATCAAAAGGGCAGTACCATAGATATAAGTTGTAACCCTAGCAAGTCCTCATGGCTTATTCCTGAGGAAGAAAAAAAGGATGCAGTCATGATAAAGTATCACAAAGCAACTTGGCCATGATCCAGCACACAGCAGGAAGGTTGGAAGACAGGTAGTTGATGGGGAGGGAGGAGTGAACAAGAGAATAAATCAACCTATCCTGTTTTCTCCGACATCTTGCTGTTTGACTGACATTCCTAACAGTATTTACACCTCCTGGACATATCCAGAGACATTCTCCTGTTCCTGCTCCTAGTACAAGTAGTTCTGCATTTGGACTTCAGTCACTGAATGCAGCTAGAAGGAATACACAATCAGGTGCAAGAGGAATGAGTCAGACTAGCCTGTGTCTGATTTGTCAACCATCCTTTACTCACTGGTTCACCTTCATGGGAGAAGAGAATGCACCCTTGCTTCCATGCACTGAGAGGCTAGAACATGACTGCTATAGACAAAGGTTCAGTACTTGAATATGAACGCTAGAATAAATTAATCAGAAGTGGAAAAACAGCTTTTCAGGTCAAGGCTTATACTGAGATGGTTTGTAAAGGATGTACATGGTATATTGCATTGATTTGCCATTTTTTTTTAAAAAAAATTACCATTTAAAAAGTATAATATATGAAAGAGCTATTGTGCACATCTTTCATGGACAGCCTAATGAGCTCTTGCTGTAACTGCATAAACCCTTCACTGGGATGCTTGGGAGTGTGGAAAACTCAATTGAAAAGAGGAAGTAATTTCATTATCTGTGCAGGTAAACAGCTTTGTCATAAATGAAAGCTCAGAAGCTTCAACATTAAATTTGAAAACAGTTATTTAAACATTATTCTCTACTTTTAAATTAGTAATAAGAACTAACAAAAGTAATGCTTTAAAAGCAAATTCATTTCAAATTCTTAATTGCAATTATATTATCAGTGGGTGAGTGTCAGACTCCTCACAGCATCATAAATGAGTACACGCTTGTAGAAAAGGTTTTACTTTATTTTGAAGCTAAGGTGCATAACAGGATCACTGTTCAGAATGGGAGGGAATCAAACAGCAAAGCATATTATAGTTCATTCAAACACCTGGGGCCCAATTGCGGGGTTTCCCGCTCGCACCTTTGGGCTTGTGAACAAACGGTCCTAGGCATAGAATGTTATCTCTTTCTCACGGCATTTCATGAGAGCTTCAGTTCGCTAACAAGCACTTGCAACCACCTGTGACCTTGGGAGATATATTTTTGGCTGTCTAAATAGTCATGCGCATCTACAGTCTTACGGCTGAAAGCGAAAGCAGGCAAACGAATACAGACACACAAAGCAAAACATTGGCAGCTCGCTGACAGTGAGTTCCAAGTAATCCTTACTGGAAAGAAACTTGAGATGTCGGAAAAAACAAACACTAACTACACAGGAATATTTTGATGGGGTATGCATATTGAGCCAGTATGGTGTAGTAAAGAGAGCTAGTGTGGTGCAGCGGTTAGAAGCAGTGTACTCTAATCTGGAGAACCGGGTTTGATTCCCCACTCCTCCACATGAAGTCTGCTGGGTGACCTTGGGCCAGTCACAGTTCTCTCAGAATTCTCTCAGGCCCACCTACTTCACAAGGTGCCTGTTGTGGGGAGAAGAAGGGAATGTGATTGTAAGTGTTGAGACTCCTTAATGTAGAGAAAAGTGGGGTATAAAACTTAAATCTTCTTCTTCTTCTTGATACTGTGTCCTATTTTGGTATAGTGGTTAAGAGCAGCAGACTCTAACCTGGAGAACCAGATTTGATTCCCCACATTTCCACATGCAGCCAGCTGGGTGACCATAAAGTCAATCACAGTTCTCTCAGCTGTTCTCTCAAGAGCAGTTCTCTCAGAGCTCTCTCAGCCCCACCTACCTCACAGGGTGTCTGTTGTGGGGAAAGAAAGGGAAGGAGATTGTAAACTGCTCTGAGACTGCGAGTGAAGGGTGGGGTATAAATCCAATTCTTCTTCTTCTGCTGCTGCTGCTGAGAATAAGGAAGATAATGTCAGTTGCATTTGTAGGACTTGCAACAGTTCTGCCATTAAATGTGAGCCCATTAATGCTCAAAATGTAAAAAGAAACTGAGCAAACCTTTAACCCGTTATGTTTTTATATGGATTTTCCTAGAAAAGATGGAAATGTAGCCCTATATTATGGAGAAAGTAGATTCCAATGATAGTTGGATACTATATGGCACTAAATATATGGGTGTTTTTTTAAAATCAGAGGATCACTTTGGCCCCGGTCACATGGGCCAGATAACGCCGGGGGGAGGCATGGCTGTTCGCCCCAGAGCAAAATAAAGTGTGATAGCCCAATCGCACAGTCCCCCAAGTCTCTGTGCTTAGGCTGTTAGCTGGTGATCACACGGCAATGCTGCAGCGTGGCAAAGAAGCGGCGCGGCGCAATCACACAAGCGTTTGGTGTTTGTGCACATGTGCAGTTCTGTGGAGCAGCACTGCTTTCAGTTTTGTGTTTGTGCGCATGCGCTTACAAAAAACATCCGGTTTGCGACGGGACGTGGACGGGCACCGGATGCCATGGGATACTAGCACTCCCGTGATCAGACGTCCGCCTGTGCCGCACGTTTTCTGGATACTAGTGCACTTTCCTTGGTACTTTTTAACTCCGCATCTTCGAGGGGACGCCACGGGTTGGCCACGGGTGCACTACGCTTCCCAGATTTTGCCGTGTGATCACGCCTTGAAAATCCGCCCGACATTCGTGCCTTTTGCACGGCAAAATCTCCATGTGACCAGGGCCTTTGCATGGCTTTGTAATTGACCATACTATATAAGCAACTTATTAATGTTCCACTTTAGACAGCAGTGATTCAAAGGTATCATCTACGGCTTATATAGGGCTAACTGATATCAGTATGCCTGCCTGTAAGCATACAGTCTTTTTAACTTTTTGACCCTGTGGCATTTCACTTCTATCATGCCACAGTGCAAGAGACTATTCAACACATGTCTTTAAGACACCTTGCCAGGTGTTTCCCAGTGTCCTAGTTTGGTAAAGTTAGTTAAAGCACACAGCGTATGTGTATATATCTCATGATTAAAGCTACATATGAGGAGCCCACTATATGAAATATAAATGTACCTGCTGCCTATCTTCCTTATAAACCCCATTCATATAGCATTCCATGACACAGCACAATATTTATGGATGTGATAAAATATCTCCATCTAGTGGCATTTTTGAAAACTTTTCTTGTTGTTCAGTCGCACAGTCGAGTCCGACTCTTCGCAACCCCATGGACCAGATCACACCAGGCCTTCCGGTCTTCCGCCGTCCTCTGAAGTTTGCTCAACTTCATGTTCGTTGCATCTATGACACTGTCTAACCATCTCATCCTTTGCCGTCCCCGTCTTCTTTGACCTTCAATCTTTCCCAGCATCAGGGTCTTCTCCAATGAGTGCTCCCTTCTCATTTGGTGGCCAAAGTATTTGAGCTTCAGTTTCATTATCTGGCCTTCCAGGGAACAGTCAGGGTTGATTACTTTTAGGATTGACTGATTTGATCTCCTTGCAGTCCAAGGGACTCAAGAGTCTTCTCCAGCACCATAGTTCAAAAGAATCTATTCTTCGGCGCTCAGCCTTCCTTATAGTCCAAC